ATTCGTGAAGTGTGTAAAGTGATCTGTGATGCCCCTTTTGTGTTGCTTAGCAACAAAGCAGCGGATGCTGTGTGTATGTTAATGATCATGCACATGTGGCGATGCAACGGCTCTATTTAACTTTGCTTCAGGGAACATTTGCAAAAGTTACAGAGTTGTTAAATGTGAGTTAGTTGGCTAGGTGGACTGTCCAGTTTGTTTTTTGATGGTGTGATCTAGAGTAGAAGGTGAAAGTCTCAGTAGTGTAACAGGTCGAGCCCTCTTGCTTTGCTTGCATCACTCCTTTGTTTTGCCTTTGACTGCAGTGCTCTGTTGAGGAGCCTCCCTCCATCCAACCTCTCCGCCCTCTGGCCCAGCTGCCAGTCTCTCTTCTTTGGCCGAACACATTTACCGACGTCTGCCTTATGATTATTACCACCTACGTCTATCCTTCATTTCTTTCTTTCAATTTAAGTACCCCTCTCAGTGATCTCTTTTCAACTGCCACATCAAATCCCTGGTTGCATTAATTCATCTCCGTCCCTACTTTCTGTTCTCAGACTCCTCTGTTTGTCTCTCCTTCAACTTTTTTCTCCCCTCTCTGTTTTTTTTTTTTTGTATTCTCTCTTTTCTCGGTTTCTCCTCTCTGTCTGTACTTTTCTGCTGTTTTTCTGTCTCCCTCCTCCTTTTTTTTCTCTCACTCTCGTCTTCCACGCTCTCTCTCTTGCCTTCCTTTCCTCCCCCTCTCTCTTTTGCCTTTCTTGTCTCCTCCTTCTCTCTTGGCCTCTCTTTCCCTAGTCGATCAGACAGTTGAAGCAGCCAAGCTGCCGGAGGCGAGAGCAGACAGAGGAGCCGCTCTGTCCGACCTCCCTCCCTCTCCGGAGACACAAACTAATGCCGACACGCCAATAAGCTGTAAGGAGACAATTATTCACCATTTATATCAGCTCTCCGTCTTACTGAGTTAGCACAGCACACCTCTGGAGCCACAGCTCTGCTACCCCACATCAGGTTTTTTAATACTTTCATCCTTTTGTGGGTTAAGTTTTCATTGATTGATTGCTAGAGATTTGCTGCAGCAAAATCGTAGCCTAGAGGTTACAGTTTGCTTGTTACTGGAAGATCATTGGTCAAATACAAGCCAAGTGAGAAAATGTGGGAGAAGGGAACATAAATAAGACATGATCTCCCATCTCACAGCAACTGCTATCAACATGCCCTTCAGCAAGGCACTTAACCCCCAGCTGCCCCACTGGATCGGCTCAGTGTCCAGCAGATAAAGACTGTAATTATACAGGGCAAGTCCTGTGTGTGAATATTTGTTATTGAAGGAAACTTAGACTGAGTGTTGCTGCAAAAGAACTCACTGGTTAAATGATGGTCAAATGTGAGTTATTTTGCTTAATATCTAAACTTAGCCAGGTTAAATCTCCCATCATCTATATCTTAGAGCAGCATTTCAAATCAAGCTTATATTCACAACTGTTGAATGTGTTTTGGGGTTTTTCAAGTGCACTTAAGCTTTTTTTCTCTTCCATTAAGTAGACACCATGTGCTGCGGAGCCAGAGACGCTGAGGTTAAGATGAAGGATAAAGAAAGGCAACAGAGCAAGAAGCTCAGAGCTTAATAAGCAGCCTGTTTAAATGCAGAGAGCTGCTGCAATAGTAGTGTAGCAAACCACGTACGCGCCTAGCAACATGTGTGCACGAACACGCATTTTTTTTGCGAGTGTGTGTGTATTTGAATGCATGCGTATATTTTGCTACTTTTGAGAAGAAATGGCTGTTGTATGCTAAAGAGGTCTTTGAAAGAATAATGAAAAGCCTGAAGGAGTGAATGATTGACTGCTCTGTTGATGAGCTCCTCAAACACAACAGTGCGGGGCATTAAGTCTCATATTCAAACAGGCTCTCACACATACACACTGTAACAGACACACACTCACTGGAACACACACAAACAGAGCAAGGCGTATATGCAGTAGGCATTGTGGGAATCGTACCGCAAATGCTCTTGCTTTCTCTTTTCTTCTCCAAAACATCCACTTTGAGAAAATAAGAACAAAAGAAATGATAGCTGAGGATAAATATTGAGCGGACTGTTTTCGGTTGTCAGTTACAGTGAAGTGCAGATATGCAGTGGTATTTTCTTAAGATCTTCAAAAAGCCTGCTTTTATACCAGGAGGCTTACTTTTGATATTATACTCGGACTTTGGAGGGCATTATTGTAAGTGTGTGCTTTGTAAGTATGGCTCTTCTTCGAGGCACAGCCGAAAGACCATCACACAGTTTTTAAATAGCCAAATGTTTGCAACCAGGGCTGAATCTGACCTAAGTTTTTTTTCCATCTCTCTTTTCTTTACTGTTTCTTGAAAGACAAAAAAAATCCATATGTAGTAAAGTGGCAATGTCACTAAAATGTAAGTGGACAGGCACAGTGCTATGTCTTTATACCTGAAGCTATTAACAGCTCTGGCTAGTTCCATGTCAGGGAACATGCAGCGACAGATTCGCAGAGCTTCTTTTATTATGAACTTGATGTCTGGCTGGAGATCGCGCTCTGCGTTTGTAACGTCTGATCAAGTTGAAGTTTAAGGTGAACAGGCCGCCCACTTCCTTCCTGTCTGTTCAATGATAACAGTCGTAGAGCGCAGAGAAAATTTGTTCCCCCTGTGAATCGATGCTAATCACATCATTGTGCTTCCCCCCTGTCCCCCACGCCTCTGTCTCTCCCTCTCTCTGGGGTTTCACACTCCTCTCTGGCCTTTTCCTCCTCACCCGTTGTTTCTCTGTCTCTGTCGCTGTCTCTCCCCTCCTCGCTCCTGTCTCCCTTCATCATATGGGAGGTGAAGCCATCTGAGGCTTCTTGCACGCAAGCCAGCCCTCCTTGTGGGTCAGCGCTGTGCACACTCAGACATTGTAGTTGTCGCCGCTGCAGCGATCTCCCGTCATACATCTATCATCCATTATTCTTGTAGTTGCCATCACAGCCTGTCATCGTATTTCAGTGTGATGATTTTGGAAGATCTTGCCTGGGATTTTGGTTACAACAAATCTTAAATATTGTCATGTCATATGATCTACCTGAGTCAAATGAACAATACATTTTACCGCATAATGATCGGTTCTTTAAAGTCACTGACAAACATCCTCAAACTACTGCAGATTTGGGATGCCCCAGGTGCCCTGAAGGCTAGTTCACATTACACGATTTTCACCCCGCAAAATGCGTCACAGAGACTATCGTAATCTTTTGAGTGTTCATATCTGGCAACGTGTGTTTCTGTCAGCGGGAGTCTCGCCAACTGTGTTACAACCTGTGTGTGCACACCACAATATTTCTCCACCGAGCCCTCGCCGACAGAGCTTCAGATAATGTGGTGATGTCACCAAACTTGGAGACGACACATCGTAAAGGCATGGATATTCTTCCCGGTATTGAATCAGATCTGCCTCCAGGGCCTGGGTCCAAACACAATGCGCTCCCCGTGATCCTGTGGATGCCACCATTGTTGTTGTTGGTTGCTGGCTTGACAGTGTTGCCAGATCTTGGGAGAGAAACAAGCAACCAGGGCTATGGAAAAAAGCCCAAAAGAAGCGACTATAATGAGTTTAAATAACTTAATAGAAGGATATATATAGAGAAAGATGAAGTTTAAAGAGCAAGCCCAAATAAGCAACTCCACTTTAGAAACAAGCCCAAAAAAAAACGCAACCCGCGACTACCAATATTTGTGAGCGACTTTACAAAAAAACAAGCCCAAAGTCATGGCTAATAAGCGACCTGGCAACTCTGTGGCTTGTCCTCCTCACATTTCTTCTGTCCTCCTGTGTGCTGACGTGGGCTGTATCCCGCCTCTCATTGGCTGATGCTCTTTGTCTGTCTTGTCAGACTTCTCCAGTTTTCTAGCATGCCAGATATCCAGTCCCAGTCGCAGACGAGGGGGCGACTTGCTCGTAGGCTTGTTCACACATGAGGACTCATTGTGGCAGACTATCTGCCGACTCATCTCCCACCCAAGGTGGCTCTCAAGATCCTCTGCGACATCAAAATTGCGGTGAAAATCGTGTCATGTGAACTAGGCTTAAGTGACTGTGACTATGACCGGAGTTTACTAAGTAGCCAATCAGAATACAAATGAAATGACAAAATTCAATTTAGCATTGTACTGCTGCTATAAAAGATATTTACCTTGATCTCACTTTGCAAAATTAGCATTTGTGTTGCCCTTTGCTCCCTGGCCGCACCATCTCATACAGTAGTTCCACATTGCTCCTTAGTCATTAGTTTAAGGCCCACATTCAGCGTCATACTTGCATTTTGCGATGTTGTAGAGCTAGTTTGCTGTCTCTGTCAGGTAGCTATTAGTTATTCACTCACTCTACAGCAGGAAATGGCACTTCAGAATAAAATGTCTGTGCCGGAAATTCACTGTACTTCAAAATAAAGTGTGGACCATTCAGAATGGACCTGCGACCCACTGTTGGACCGCCACCCACCAGTTAGGAACCACTGATCTAACATGCCTCAAAACTGATAATGTACACTCTGACATAGATCACAACCAAGACTTCATTAAACCCATCTTGTGTGTGTGTACCTAACTTGTGAGACTGTTGTTGTTGTACACTCTGTGCTATATAAGACAGAAGCACTGTCCCAGAGTGACGAATCAGCCGTTTGACCTTCTAATGGAAACCAATACAATTTTCAATTTTCCAATAAATGCCTGCATCTCTCATCAAGCACTGACACACGTAACACTCCAGCATTTTTGCAAAAGGCTTTGTTCATGCAGATGCAGGAGTAATGTGATATATTTATTTATCTGAGTCATCGATACTAGCACTAGTATTACACATACACCCACAAGACAGTGACCTTTTTTTTCTGCTGCAGAGACGTTACTAAATATGTAATGTGGTTCCTCTCCCTCTCTGTGTTTCTGTGTGTGTATGTCCGCATGGCTACATGCCTGTCTCTGCATGTGTGCGTGTGTGTCCATGCGTTTGCTCACAGCTCCAGCCAACGCCCAGATCGTGCACTCAGGCGCGGCGTGTAACGTCAAGGATGATAACATCAGTGAGAGAATCTACACCATCAAAGAAGGAGACACACTAGTGCTGCAGTGTATTGTTAAAGGCCACCCACGACCACAGGTAAGCTCCCCGACCACCTGCTGAGAGGCGTGTGTGTGCTATTTGTTAATGTACTGTTTGACATATATGTTGATGCTGATCCTGTTATCCAGACTGACTTACAGTACTTACTGAGTGAGCAGGTAGACAGTGAGACTCGTGCTCAAGGACACTGGGACAATAATGTTTGCAGTGGCTCTGAACACAACCTGTCAGCAATCAAACATGATACACTCTCTGTAATCACTGGATGAACATGTCAACTGATGTTTGGATGAAGGAGCAGGCTTTTTCAGTGTTTGGTCAAATTACACACACAGTCACTCAAATATTTTGAAATGATTTAGGGAAATTGTTTTTCTAGTGTCATGAAGCCATCTGAGAAAAAAAGATATTTAAATAGAATTTCAGTGGTTTCACAAGCAAATCACAAAAAATGTGATTTAAAATACAATAGTGCCGGGAAACCCATCCATCCTCCAGCCAATCAAAGATAAGGACTCCTAGAGGCAATGGTGTCATCAATGAGCCATGATCAGCCTGCTTCTATCCTCAAGAAATTCCAAATTCACAGACCTCTCTCCTACTTAAATCTCGCCGGATTGTTAATGTGTGTCTCACATTCAAGCTAATATCTCTGTCCTATTTTCCTGACACAAATATAGCAGAGCCAGAGGTCTTATCAAGCTGTTGGTGTTGTTGTAATGCATGAACACCTCCGTAAATCTGGCAAAACCTCACTTTGTTTACATGGTGTGCCTGTTTTCATGCAGGCAGGTATGTTGGGGCAAAACATGCTGGCGACTGAAAAGACTGCAGGCGACACGGACATATTCTGTGACTAGCATCAGTTACAAAACATGTCTGACCCTGGCTAGCATAAATGATGTGATATATCCAGTTATTAGTCATGTTCATGGTGTCACTGTGCGTCTGTTTGTGCTGAGTCACACAGTATCCTCCTGTATTCACCTAACAGTGGCGATAACTGAAATCATACCCTGCTTTAGTGTTCTCAGGCGGACATTGATATCAGTTTGATCTTTACTGAGTCCACTGTGTTGTTACTGACACATTCAGTGTTGTTGTGTAGCATCATGCAAATTGATAAATAAGTACAGCAGTAGCTCAGGATTTAGAGAATATGCTTGTGACTTAAAGGTCATGGGTTTAATTTCCCAGAACAGCTGTTGGGCTAAATGTGCCCGCTGTTAACCGTTACAATTTACTCACAGTTTACCTTTTAGTAAGGCTAACTGTGCAGCTGCATCAGTGCATCTTTAATATATGATATATAAAAATGTACAAGACACAAGAGATCATATGTTTAAAGACAATATATAATAAATCACAGTAGGAAATTATTTGCCATTCACTTCAATGAGCCTCTGAATTTCCTTCTGTCCTTTGTAGCAACACTGGAGAGAAGTGAAGAAGAACAAATGCTATTACACAACAGCTCAGCCCGGGTTGCACATGCTGCATTTAAGCACACACACGCACACACACGTGCCTGAATATACGAACGTACTATATGTGCATGTGCGTACAAATAAACCCCCCCCACACACACACACACACACACACACACACACACAGCAGTAGCCTCAGCCAGTAGTGGACACATCTGGTTTGCTGGGTTGAACTCCAGCAGAACATTTTGGACCAGGGTCCCTGTGTGTGCGCGTGCATGTGTGCGTGTGTGTCTGTGAGCTTACAGAGCTAAATATATAAAATAAACTGAGGTGACTGCGGAGGGATTGTGTATTTTGTGTGTATTTGTGTGGGAGTGCGTGAGGTGAGAAAAGCAGTGTTCCTCACGGGTGCATGTCCACTGGCATCACATCAGCATGAATAAAACAGTGCCTGTGTCCAGGCCTTGTTTTTTTCTGTTGATGTTTATGTGTGTATCCATTGTGAGTGTGTGTGTGTATAAGAGACAGCTTGCTTGTGTGACGCTGCAGATGCAAACTAATCATTTATATGTGGCTGCAATATCTAATTACAAACCCAAGTGTTGACCTAACCTGACTGTACTAACTGCGGCTGTCATTTCTCTCTCATTTGATCCATCCATCTTGCTCTAGCTCTCTCACACACACACAGATGCACACCACATTTACAGGCTGGGTAGCCTAAAACAAATGGAGACCAACTTAAATAAAACTTTTATTTTCACCGGCACTGGAATAATAATCATGATAAAAACGCTCTCTGAAAAACACATACTACACAAGTTCATTCCCCTGGAGCAGTTCAAAGATGTAGGAAATTGCATCAGTGATTGCTTGTTCTCTAGGTCGGAGGTGGTAGTGTATTTTGAATAATGATCACATTGGTCACATTGTCAGAATGTAAATTATATATAGTGTGTGCACAAGCAAGACATACACTGCCTCAGGCAAAGAGACATTGGTTGAGTGAGTGTGTGTGTGCCCGTGTTTGCTTGTCTGTCTGTGAGAAAATGCGTATGTAGACACAAACTAACAAACAAAGGCAGAAAGAGACAAAGACGCAGATAACAAAGGCAAAGAGCTGTAGCAGTGAAAACATTTCAGTAGCCTAATGCTCACGGACAGGAAAACTGAGGTCGAGACAACATTTCTTGATTCATCAACACTTAGGAGCAAAATATTTGTGCAAGGGTCAGCTGAAAAATTGTTTCACAATTTAAGAATGATTTCCACTGCCCGTCTAAAGCAGCGGGCCTTTGAGAGTAAATTAATTTAATTTGGTCAAATCTGAAGAAAATAAAAATCAATTAAATTATATCTTGCAGTAAAAGGGTTCAAGGCAGATCAGATGAATCATAGTGTTTACATCATCTTCACCTCTCTTAAGTCAAACAAAGGTTATGTACTTTTCACATACTTTTCACAGCGCGGGTTTGACGCCCTTGTAATTATATCTGTCAATGATACACAAACAATCATTGACCCATGCCTGCACATATGTAAACCTAGATTCAAACAGACAACATGCTGCGTTACTTAACGTTCTTCTTGAGTGCAACACATATTGACGACAACATGTGTCAGTGTTGTCAAGGAGAGGGCTCTCAAGTGGAAGGTGGCATATGAACACATAGACACATGCAGGCGGAGAGACGGAGGGACAGAGATTAGATAATGACAACAGGATGAAACAAGGACAGTAGAAGAGAAATTGAATGATGACAGATTATGGTGGCACCAGAGGAATGAAGAAGACGCAGTGAGAAGAGATAAGAGAAGGGTGATTCTTATTGTGATAGAGAGGAAACAATGATTCAAAGTCAAGATAATTGTGTGTGTGTGTGTGTGTGTGTGTGCAGTACTATGTACACATAATGCTCATTTTAGTGTTACGTGAGAAAAGTGGAGACTGGATTTTTAGAAATTGTACCGTAGAGGCTGTTGGGACTTCACAGAGAGGGTTTGACTGCCTGACCATTGTCACATGTCATCCCTTACTGTCTCCTGTTTTTGTTGTCACCCTCCGCTGGTGCTTAAATCAAATACATCACAAATCTGTCAAAAATCAGTCAACAGAAATCACGCACATAACCAGAGACGTTGGATAAGCATCTGTTTTGCTAGCCTGCGAACACAGAAAAGAATAAAGTAGAGTAGAAGTAAACAGTGAGTGTGCTGACCTCTGTCCCAGTGCGTTCTGCTGGAGCAGCACACTGCAGCATTCTGCAGCTGGTCCCATTGGGCTTACAGAGTTTCCACTGCGCTCCATCGGCTGTATTGATAACCTGATCCCTGTCACCCCAGCTCTCCTTCATCCATCCTTACAGCTTTCCATACCCTCTCTTCTGTGCACCCATGGACCGTCCTGTCATTGAACAAAGTTGTAGTTTCTGACGTAATTTTTAAATTATATTTCTTGTTATTTCCTTGGGATAAAAATAATTTGTGACACTGACCTACAGGAAGTTACAGTGATTCATGTCTCAGAAGCATATACTCATGTCTCAAATTTAAGTGGTTAGTTTGCAATAGTTTTGGCAGAATTGCTTCCTTGTGCTGACCAGATGCTTCAGATGACATGCATTTGATTTAAATCTATATGTGTATTCAATCTGCAGAGTTGCAATGATTCTTGATATTTTTAAAGCTGGAGCAAATTAACAGTGACCTCAGACAAATATGTTGTGTATTTGAGAGCCGCCATTCCAATACACTACGTGCCATATCCAAGGCAGTGTTGTGAAAGGTTTATTTCCCAAAGCAGGCTGGTCACTATTTTCAAAGCAGTGTGATATCTCAATAATATGCTGCCAAAACATTTCACAAACAGTGGTATTTTACTCTGATTCTAGCCATGATGCTGTAAGAGTATTTTTCTTTGGAGCGCTCATGGATTCTCCTCACAAACAAGAACAAGAAACAGTTGAAGAGCTACCAAAGTGAACCATGTCTCCTTTTCTCCCATCCTCTCTGAGAAGTTTGTATTGGCCTCTAGGTGTTGGCAGACACACAAGATGTTCAAGTCTTCTGGCTGCTTTGTTATTATTTATGGATGTACTCCAGTTTAGCATGAGTGTCCTCATAACGCACTCTGTATTCACCCTTCAGAGAAACAATGAGCTTACAAATTTGTGTCGACAACATTTTCATAATACATTTATTGATAAACACACCCACTGCAGAGCGGACCACACAGCCTTTAAAGACATTAGAGCTTACTGCGATATTTTATTAATCAGATAAGCTGTTTCATAGCAGCTCGGCATCTTTTATCAGTCTTTGGTTTCTAGCTTTGGGAGAGAGCTGCTCGTGTCCCACATTTTGATGGGTCTATTTAAGATCATAGGAATTTGATGTATGAGTTGTGATTGGCAGTGGATTTTCTTTTGCATTCTCAGTCTCGATGTATTACCACGAAAGACTTTTATAGCGTGTTTTATTTTGTAATGCAAAGACCATTTTGCTCCCAAAACTTTAATCCACGCCTTCTCGCACTGAGATGATGTAGACTTTCCCATCTACTTTCTCTCTATCGTCACCTCTCTCAGAGGGAGGAGGATCCAATTT